TGTTAAGTGAACTGACATTTCTCTATCTGTTTTGTCTCCTTCCCTTTTTAAATAAAGGTCTTACATTAGCATTTTCCAATCCTTCTGGACCTTAACCAGAATCTAAGGATTCCTGGAAGATTACTACCAGTGCATCCACCATCTCTCTTACTACTTCTTTTAATATCCGAGGGTGTAGCCCATCAGATCCAAAGGAGCCTCATTAGTCTCTTCTTGGGTGATAGTTATTTTATTTTCTTAACTCCTTTTTTCCCTTAATTGTTTAGTATTTTTGGAGTGCTATAAGTGTTTTCTACCGTGAAGACTGATGCAATATATTTATTCAACTCCTTTGCCATTTCCTGATTCCCCATTATTATTTCTCATGCCTCATTCTCTAAGGGGCTGATACTTTCTTTGGTTTCTCTCCTTTTTATAGATTTAAAGAAGGACTTATTTCTGTTTTGATATTACTTATTAGTTTACCCTCAAAGTTTAACTTCTCTCTCTATTTTCTTTGGTCATCCTTTGTTGGTTTTTAAAATTTTTCAATGCTCTGGCTTACCACTAATTGTTGCCATATGCTTATTTTTTCAAATTGATATAATCCTTAACTTGCTTGATTAACCATAACCCTGTTTATACCCTTCCTCAAATCCTTCTTCCTCACTGGAATATATCTTTGTTGTAAGTCATGAACTATTTGCTTGAATGTCTGCTATTATTATGTGGAATGACACTACATTCAATAGTGTTGTGATATTTTGCACTTTCCAATCACTGCAGAATCTATAAAATTTTGCAACACAATTACCAATACCTCAACTATCTCTATAGTCACCTGATTTAACACTGTGCGATATAGTCTATCAGACTGTTCTGAGGAAGGGTCACCGGATCCGAAACGTTAACTCTGATTTTTTTTTCACAGATGCTGCCAGATCTGCTGAGCTTTTCCAGCAACTTCTGTTTTTGTTATAGACTGTCAGGTCCTGGAAATTTCTCAACTTTCAGCCCTACTAATTTATTCAGTACAATCTTCTTACTAATACTTAATTTCTTCAACTCCCTTACCACTTAGATCTCTATTTCTGGGAAATTTATGGCACCTTCCTTAGTAAAAATGGACACAAAATGATCATTTAGCTTATCTGATATTTGTCTTTTCCACATTATAAATTTTCGTGACTGCCTGTAAGGGACCCACATTCATTTTTGTCCAACGTTTCCTTTTTTACACACCTATAAAAGCTTGTATGTTGCTTTCTTCTTTGCTAGGTTATATTCATATTCTATTCTCTCTTTCCTTACCAGTTTGTTGATACTTCTTTGTTGTGGTCTAAAAACCTCCCAGTCCTCAGATTTATTGCCAACTCTGGCAACTTTATCAGTCATTTTTTTGATCTTTTACAATCCAAAACTTCCTTTGGCTTGTAAGTGCAGCTCTGAATACTTCTTAAATGTTGTGAGGATTTCTGCCTACACCATCCTTATAGGCAGTGGGTTCCAGATTCCCACCATCTTGAGTGAAAAACATGTTCCTCATATCCCCTCCAAACCTCCTGCCTCTTATCTTAAATCTATGCCTGCTAGTCATTGATCTCTCCACCAAGGGGAAATGTTCATTAAAACAGGCACAGGCGGAGGCAGTTCAGCCCCATGACCCTGCTCCACCATTTAATACGATCATGGCTGATCTCATCTTGGCCTCAACTCCACTTTCTGCCCCTCCTCATAACCCTTCAACCTGATATTAATTAAAACTCTGTCTATGACCTCCTTATATTTACTCAATGTCCCAGCATCAATTACACTCTAGATAGTAAAATCCATAGATTCATGTCCCTTTCACAGAAGTAATTTCTCCTCACCTCTGTTTTAAATCTGCTCCCCCTTATCCTGAAACTATGACTTTTTGTTCCAGATTGCCCCACATGAGGAAACATACTTTCTGTGTCTGCTTTGTCAATCCCCTTTAGCATCTTATATTCCTCAATTAGATCTTCTCTCATTCTCGTAAACTCCATAGGCCTAAACAATTCAATTTCTCTTCATAATAGAAACCTCTCATCTCTGGAATCAACCCCTCTTTGAACTGCTTTCAATACTACTACATCGCTCCTCAAGTAAGGGGTCTAAATTGTACGCAGTACTCCAGGTGCGGTCTGACTAATCCCTCGTACAGTTTCAGAAACACTTCCCTGCTTTTATACTTTTTTTTAGCAATAAATGCCAAAATTCCATTTGCCTTCCTGATTACCTGCATACTAGTTTTCTGTGATTCATGCATGAGGACACTCAGATCCCTCTGCAAAGCACCCTGAAGTTTCTCTCCATTTTAATAATAGGCTGCCTTTCTGTTCCTGTGACAAAAGTAGATAATCTCACTCTGATCCACATTCAACTTCATCTGCCAAATTTTGAGCTATTCATCTAACCTATCCATATCTATTTGTAAATTTCTTATTTCTTCATTGCAACTTACTTTCGTACCTATTTTAGGGTCATCCTTTGCAATATGGTAAACTTTAGTTTTTTCTTTATGAAATCTTTAACTTTCTTGCTTAGCCAGAAATGATTTTTCCCCTCTCACAGTCTTCGTCTCTGGAATATATTTTAGTTGGGAGCAATTGAATATCTCCTTAAACGCCTGCCACTGCTCATCAACTGTCCTACGTTTTAGTCTTTCTGCTCAGTCCAATAGGACCAAATCTATCCTCATGCCTATATAAGTACCTTTGATTAATGCCAGGGTACTAGTAGGGGGTCTCCAATTTCTCGCTCTCCAACTGAGTTTGAAATTCTAGCTTGCTGTGATCACTATTCCCTACAGGATCCTTTACTATGAAATATTTAATTAACCCAACTTTTTACACATTACCAAATCCAGAATGGCATGCTCCCTGGTTGCATACAAAGCATATTGTTCCAATGAATGTTCTCTAATACATTTGGTGAGCTGTCCCTCAAGCCTATCCTTGCCAATTTGATTAATTCAGTCTATTTGCATATTAAAATCAACCATGATTATTACTGTATCTTTCTCACAAACCCCAATATTACTTGGTTTAAAATGTCCCCCACTGCGAGGCTACTGTTTAGGGACCTACAGATTACTCCCACCAGTGACTTCTTTCCCTGCTAATTCTTATTTCTGCCCAGACTGATTCTACATCTTGGTCTCCAGTGCTGATATCATTTCTCACGACAGCATTGATTTCATCTTTTACTAATGAAGTCCTTAAACACTAAGTACCTTTTGATATTATTGATAATGGAATTCTCTTTAACAGTTGCTCTTTCTTTCTGCTTCCTCCTCCCCTGCACAACAGAGAGATCTGTGATGCCATGGTCTTGGCTCTGGCTGTACATCTTTGAGAAACTATTGTCCTTATTTTCCAAAATGGAATACCGATTAGCAGGCATGATAGATTCAGTGGGCTCCTCGATTAGAAATACTGTCGAATCTTAATCACCAATCAGCTGCTTTCCCTGCCCCTGTGAATCTCTGTGTAGGTAGGACTAATCCATGCTTTCTTCCTGTCCCACTCAGCTGTCGTCTGGGGACTTTATTTTGTGCATTAAGAATTAATTAAAGTACCTCTTTCCCCATGCCCTGAATTCCCATTTTGACCCAGATTCTCACTCAGTCTCACTCAGGCAAAGTCTCCTTCGCACTAAACATGCAACTTACTCTGACTTCTGACCTTTCATAAGGGGGATTTAAGAATGGTCGCAAGATCAATAGAAGTGTTTAGATCAGTGGGGGAGTAATTACATCATGGCAAGTCTAATATGGGAGAGATTGATTGCTACATCGAGAGAGTCAAAAGATCATGAGAGGAACTTGGATCAGCAGAATTCTCCACTACCAAATGATTAACTATATATCTCCTTAACGAATCAGACTGAAGGATTGTGACAGTTTCAGTACAGGGGCTCTGATTGGCTGGTTTCTCTCAAAGATAGCACATGAACTGGACCGAAGAGGTTGTTGCAGGAGAAGCCTCACTGGATCTGGGAACCTTGCTGGCAGCAGGCTGCCTTACTGCAGTTGAATCTCAACAGGCCAATTATTGCTACCAATTCTCCAGTCAACGGACAAGCTCACCCCCACAACCCTTAAATTCCACTCGCTATCCTTCCTCCGGTCTCTCTGTATGCTGTCTGACCTGCAGAGTATTTCTGTTTTTATTTCCTTAATGATTCCAGGCTTAATTAAATCAGCTGATATGGGTCCAAGACAGACTTCTTATGTTTTTTCAGGCTGATCTCCCAACTGTTGGTGGTGAATTTAGTTAATTTCTATGATGAAAATAAAGCAACCTCATACCAGTTCATTCACGTCTGTGTGAGGCGAATGGCGCAATACTATTCATGTCTAGTGAGCAAGAAGCAACCTTTCATTACAATTCTATTAGAAACACAAATTAGAAAACAAGTTGTTTGTGGCATTGGTCTTCTTCATATTTGACAGGACAATGAAATTGTAAACATGAAGCACTGGAACATTATGACAATTCACCTATTAGATTAGATCATAACTTTCATTCTACTTGTCAAATTTCACAGTGACTGAATGTGAAAAATTGGAATGTTTCAGAAACTCAGTATTTTTTCCTTTCTGCTGACCAGCTTCTCAGAAAAAAAGAACCTGTAGCTCAAAATAACTAACAAAATGTTATCTTACTGTAAATGTAACATTCTTGCAGTAGGTGGGCCCTACATTGACAATAGAAAGTGGAGAAATCGTAGATTGAGAGATTACTGGTTCTGTTTCATCCTTTAATAATTTGCCAAATTATTCTGCTTTGTTATTTATGAGGATTTTTATAGCTCTTCAGATTTGTCCCATTGAGGTTATTAAACGACAAAGTGTAAGTAATTTCTCAAGTCAGTCAGTAGCTTCATTTTAACTTATTATTTTTTCGATAGGGTATCTAACAACTTGGTTTAAAGGAATATTTGAGTTATGAGGTAAAATGCACTTAATGTAACTGTTTTGTGGACTTGTTATTTAGGTGTGGTTCAGTGAGAAGACATTTGATCCCAAGTTCAACTTCTACACTGATTATATCATCCCAATCTGTGCCACAGTTGACAACTATTTAGAGTATATTCAGACATTACCTGCTGTTGACACCCCTCAGGTGTTTGGCCTACATCCAAATGCTGATATCACGTAAGTAGGATATGAGTTAACTCTTACCTAATACCTGACAACACAGTAAAGATCACTTATTATTGTTCTCTATTCCCTGGTAATAATTGGACTACAGCCCTAGCTAGATATAGTAAGGGGGATGTACAGGGCTCAGGGAAGAGTGGAGAGAAAGCAACTTGCTTACAATGGGAGGCCTGCACTATTGCTTATTTCAAGTGTTACCATTTATAATTGATTATTACTCCTACATCTCTGGAGCCACAGGTACAATTAAATAATGCTAATCGTTATTGCGCCAATTCCCCTGCCATTTACTTTGGTCACAGATTGTTGTTACATGAAAACAATGGTGAAGTTGAAGAGCTAGAAAGGATTGAAGATTCTGCTACAGTTGTCTGCACTATTCCTGTGATTAATGAAGTATGGAACTGAAGCCAATCCTTACATACTTTTATATTTATTTACAGAGTTACACATCACGAGTATACATCTCTACAACCAACAATCACAGTTTTAGTCTGTTCCTGCCTACCACCTATGTGCAATTAAAGAAATTTAGCAGCTAAATAACATATTCTCTCCTCTTTAATTAAACAACAAAAATTTCAAAACAAATTAAATCACATTCCACATTCTGTACAAAGCGTTATGTTGTGAGATTTCTTTTTTTACCAGCATTTGTTTCAAACCAGCAAGGACAATCTAACATTTTCATAAAGTATGTATAATCCCACAATTAAGAATTACCTACACAGCACGCAATAAGTGGATTATTTTACAGAAACACACTTAAAATGGTTAACAACTAGGAACTCCTATCCATTGCCTCCATAAAAACCAATGAATGGACTTTTTTCAGCCCACTTGGGTGGGAGCCGTCTGTGGGCTCCTGGGAATTAGATGACAAGGAGGCTGACCTTGTAATTGGAGTGGATATCCCTATGATTTCTAGGGCCTGCTTATCTGGTTCCAGTGGAGAAAAAAATCTCATCAAAGTGGAGGCACCCTTACATTCTCTTTGTGGTGTCACACATTCGTATACTTTGCGTTGCAGAGTGCTTGAGGCATATCTTTAATCTTAAGTTGTATACGTCCTAGTACTTATAGTTACACTGTTGTATACTATAAGCAATATTTCTTCACTCAGCGCATGCAGTTTCATAATACACTGACCCCTGTATCAAAGCTGAAAATTAATGAGAAGTCCATTGATATAAATCTCTTTTTGCCTGAATTAACTGATTGGATCATCAATTTCTCCTAAGCATTTTTTAGAAATATCTTATGTAGCAGATTGCTGTACTGCGTCAGCATCTTTGTATGAGTAGCTATTTGACTTTATACTGCAATGCAACCGTGCCCTATTTCTGCATATGTTATTGGAAGTGGTGTATTGTTTTATAAATATAGTATTTGTTTTTAGTAGCTAGGTGCTTGTGTCTGTGAGTTTTGCTTTTCTCACAGCATTGACACTAACTCTCTATATCTGCTGTCTGGCCTACTCTCTGTACTAGCTTCTTGCTTGTGTATTTAAGGTTTTTTGAACCTTAAGAATAGAATAGATTCTGTAGATTCTGTGAGAAGATTGATCTTTCCCTCTTTTGATCGATCTCTGCTGCTTCTGGATTTGTGCTTCATTACCATCCGAATGGCTTTCTCTAAAGTTAAATCTTCTTTAGACTGAAATAAATCATGGCAAAGACTCATCCACAATTTTAACAAAAATTCTATATCTTACGAATTCTCTCTTTGAAGCTCAATTGTCACTAATCTGTAGAGATCGTTAGGTTGTCTATGGATTTACCTGGGTGCTGAGCTCTTCTCTTAAATCTTGTCTTTGAAGATTTTTAATTGTTCCAAAATTAAAGTAAATATCAATGCCTGTACAACTTAATCTAAAGACTATATGAGTTCTTGGCAAGCTATAACATCATCAGACTTTGTCCTAGTTGAGTATCAAAGTGTATTTGCTTCTTCAGATGGAGAATTAGTATCTAGTTCGGAATTAATTCTGTATGTTAAGAAATGTTTGCTCCAAGAATTCAAATTCTAAGTTCTATTTGGAATGTCTCTGAAATGAAATCATCCTGATCATATTATTTCTGTTGACATTTCTTCTTAATGAATTATTTAATGAAATTAATTATTCATCTAACTTTAAAACTTTATAATCCTGTAGGATGCTAATACTGAAGGACTGAAGACTGAAAGCCTGAAGACTTTTAAGTGTGGAGTTAAACAATGTTGTTTTCTTTACATACACACTTTCAGCTATGCAGTATAGCAATACTGCTTCTCTGCACTACTGCATTGAAGGATTTTTCTGTGTTTTTCTGATTGAAATAGATGTTTTCTGCCATCAGTGGGATTTTTTACAAGTCGCATGGATGATTTCCTAACTTTGCCACCTAATAAACAATTCTCATCCTTTGCCCTGACTTTGCTGAGTAAATCCTGCTCTTGTAGCTTTGAAGATTAAATACTTTGTATAACAGCATTCTTTAGCAATTTACAATGACCGCAGCACATCTATTATTGGCTTTTGTCTTAATATTTTAATAAAGATTCCCATTCACTTTAACAGTTTCACCAAATGGATCTTAGTTTCTGTGCCCTTAGAAAATTCTTCCCACTTTAACTAGACTTCAATTATGGATCTTCTTTTCCTATTGCAACTGGAACAGATACCTTACTCTCTTCTTTTGTTAAACTCTGCCTTTGCATGCTTTGAAGCATTTTAACACTTTAATTCTGGCTTTGCAAAGTTCCTCGTTCTACAATCTCAGCTTAATTTACTTTTATGGCCCTTGATTTGCCCTACTTGACTCAGTGCACCCTATACAATATGTAATTGCAGATGTGAATAGCATTTCATCTCCCTGGAGCTTCTAGCTCACATTTGCTCCTTCACTTCTCTTACCAGGTCTGAAACACTTTTAGCATTATTTGCAGATTGTCCCTTCCAGGTGCTTGTCTGTGTAGGCTGTTTTTTAATTCATTTCCCTCTGCTGCCAAAGTTGTTCTTAAAGTTGCAACTGGAAATTCTTCCTGGGTTCACTGGAATTTGTTCTGTGGAGCTAAATCGATTTCCAATCCACATATACTGAAGACTAAGCTATAATGGTGTGGCTAAATTAATCCTTCAGATGATCACCACTGAAACTATTTAATATGAGCTAGCTGGACTCTGGTCACTGTAAATTAGATTTGCTGCCATCATCCACCATTGGGTTGGGATCTACATAGCCTACTTTATCTATTGTGAGAGATATTACTAGATTGCATTGACAAGAAGAAACTCTTGTCGTTAACAAGATTTAGTTTATTGTATGATAGCAAATCATGTACAAGTTACATAGGTATCATAGACTTTCAATAATGACACTTAATAATCCATGTGTCACTTTCTTGCCCACTCACTTTAACTGGATTTTGTGGTCAGTGGCAAAGCCAGAATGCTTGACAGAGGTTCCCGCAAAGATCTGGTGATATCTGAGACATAGATTTTCCCTTTCCCAATGTCAGTTTAATTCTGGAACCAAGACAAGCTAATTTGCAGCCGATTCGCCAAAATGACTGCATCAAGCAAGTTAAGCAAATAATTATAAGAACATAAGAAATAGGAGCTGAAGAAGCCGCCAGCATCTTGAGTCTGTTCTGCCATTCAGTAGGACGACGGCTAATCCTTTACTGTTTTGGTACCCTATCTATGGAAAGGTATATTGGGATTGGAGGCAGTCCAGAGAAAGGTTGACCTGGGACTGGAGGACTGTCTTATAAGGCAAGGTTGAGGTTGAGTCCAGGTTCAGCCTGAACTCATTAGAATTTAGAAGAATGAGAGGCGTCTTCATTGAAGTATGCAAGGCTGGGGTCTTTACCAGGTAGATGCGAAAAGATTTTTTCCTCTTGTGGGAGTGTGTAGGACCAAAGGGCATATTCTCAGAATAAGGGGTCACACATTTAACATCGAAATAAGGAGGAATTTTTTTTCTGTCAGAGGGTAGTGACTGTGTGGAATTCTTTAGCGCAGAGGGCTGCAGAGGTGGGTTGTTAAGTATATTCAAGGCTGAGATAGATTTTTAATCAGTAAAGGAATCAAGGATCCTGGGGAAAAGGCAGGAAAGTGGAGCTGAGGGTTATCAGATCAGCTGTGATCTCATTGAATGATAGATCAGACTCAATGGGCTGAATGGTCTACTTTTACTCCTATATCTTAGTGTCTTATTGATTTATGTAAACCCTGGTTAGACACCCCACTGAAAGAAAACATCCTGAACCTTGTCAAACCCCATAAGAGTTTAATATTTCAATGAGATGATCTCTAATTCTTTTTGAACTCAAGTGAATGCCCATTTAGTCGACTCATATTACCTCAGAGGACAATCTCTTCATTCCAGCAATCTATCTAAACCACTAACCCTATCATATTTAATCTTAAAGTTTACATTTGGACTTTAGGTTGAAGCTAAAATAGGTTTTAAAAAGAGCAATTTCTTTCACAATGAAATCTTTTAACATTCAACAAAAATAAAAAGAAAATCTTCCAGGGCTAGTGACTGAAAAATCCAGGTCATTAAATTTGACAGGTAAACCTCAGATAAAAAGTTCCAAATTTAAGTTGCTTAAAACAAACTTCAAAGGGGTCAGAACAAATTCCTCAGGGTAAAGTCCATTGAACTGTTAAATAGGTAAACTTAAACTCCCCGAAAGTGTTTGCATATGACACAAACGCAGTATATACTCTCAAAGGTAAAGCTTCCACTTACGTAATTAACTAACCATGATCAACAAATTAGATAAACCTTAGTATCAAGTTACAAGAAAAGACACACACAAATGTAATAAAACTGTTACATTTCTATTGTTCTTCGGTTCTGATAAATTGCCAATCTGAAATTTTAATTCTCTTCCTTTCTCCACAGATGTTACCTGATTTATAGAATCATTGAGTCATAGAATGGTACAGCACAGAAACAGACCCTTCAGTCCAACTCAACCATGCTGATCACGTATCCTAAATTGATCTAGTCCCATTTGTCAGCATTTAGCCCATATCCCGGCATGGTGGCTCAGTGGTTAGCACCGCTGCCTGACAGCGCCAGGGACCTGGCATTCCCTCGGGCGACTGTCTGTGTGGAGTTTGCACATTCTCCCCATGTCTGTGTGGGTTTCCTCTAGGTGCTCTGGTTTCCTCCCACAGTCCAAAGATGTGCAGGCTAGGTGGATTGGCCATGCTAAATTGCCTGTAGTGTTCAGGGATGTGTAGATTAGATGTGTTGTAGGGGAATGGCTCTGAGGGTCACTGTGGACTTATTGGGCCGAAGGGCCTGTTTCCACACTGTAGGGATTCTATGATAAGATCCCTCTAAACGCTTCCTATTCATATACCCATCCAGATGCCTTTTAAATGTTGTAATTGTACCAACCTCCTTCACTTTCTCTGGCAGCAAATTCCATACAGACACCACCCTCAGCATGAAAAGGTTGCCCCTTAGATCCCTTTTAAAGCTTTCCCCCCTTACCTTAAACCTATGCCCTCTAGGTTTGGACTCCCTACCCTGGCTATTCACCCTATCCATGCCCCTCATGACTTAATAAACCTCTATAAGATCACCCGTCAGCCTCCAATGCTCTAGGTATAATAGTCACAGCCTATTCAACCTCTCCCTGTAGCTCAAACTTTCTAGTAACTCTTGTAAATCTTTTCTGAACCCTTTCAACTTTAACAATATCTTGTTCAGCAGGGAGACCAGAAATGAAAGCAGTATTCTAAAAGTGGCCTGACCAATGTCCTGTACAGCCGCAACATGACCTCCTAACTCCTATACTCAGTGCACTGACCAATAAAGGCAAGCATACAAAACACCTTCACTAGCCTGTCTACCTGGGATTCCACTTTCAAGGAACTATGAACCTGCACTCTATGGTCTCTTTGTTCAGCAACGCTCCCCAGGACCCTACCATTAAGCGTATAAGTCCTGCCCTGATTTGCCTTTCCAAAATGCAACACCTCACAATTATCTAAATTTAGATCCAGCTGCTACTCCTTGGCCCATCTAATCAGGGTCCTGCTGTACTCTGAAATGAGCTTCTTCACTTTTCACTACACCACCAATTTTGATGTCATCTACAAACTGACTAACCATTTCTCCTACACTCACATCCAAGTCAATTATATAAATGATAAAAAGCAGTAGACCCAGCACCAATCCGTCCGGCACACTGCAGGTCACAGGCCACCAGTCCAAAAATCATCCACCGCTACCCTCTGTCTCCTACCTTCAAGCCAATTTTGTATCCAAATGGCTAGCTCTCCCTGGGTTCTGTGTGATCTAGCCAGTCTACCATGCGGAACCTTGTCGAATGTCTTCTGAAGTCCATATAGATAACATCCACTGCTCTGCCTTCATCAATCTTCTTTGTCACTTCTTCAAAAAATTCAATCAAGTTAGTAAGACACAATTTCCCACACACGAAGCCATGTTGACTGTCCCTAATCAGTCTTTGCCTTTCTAAATACATGTAAATCAGAACCCCCTCCAACAACCTACCCACCACTGACGTCACACTCACTGGTCTGTAGTTCCCTGGCTTTTCCTTTACCACCTTTCTTAAACAATGGCACCACATCAGCCACCCTGCAGTCTTCTAGCAACTCACGTTGCTATTGATGATACAAATATCCTAGCAAAGGGCCTAGCAATCACTCATTGATTATTTCCAGCAATTTGTATTGTTTTGTTTTTGGTCTTATCCAAATTCACTTCTGTGCACTTCGAACAGAAATCATGGGCTAGCCATCAGAGACAGGAATCTGAACCAGTTGTCTGCTGCCCAATCTTCAGGCACTGTGGCTAATTTTAGCCTCCCAGTAATGCCTTTGCTGAGACTGACAAACTTCGCAAACTAGGGATCAAACTCATGAATGTGATTAAATACTTTAAGAACTAACCTAAACCGGTGGAATAATCAGGGCAGCATACTGATGATTTAAGATCATTGGCTGCAGATTGCTAAAAGAAACCCAAAATGCTGCTGACAGAAACATGCATCATTCCCAAACCTTAAAAGAAATGCCAACATTCATTGCTCTCTTTTCCTTCAGGTACCAGAGTAATACTGCAGCCGAAATTCTCAACACCATCACCAATATTCAGCCAAAAGAAACTTCAGGAGGAGGAGGAGAGACTAGAGAAGCCATTGTCTTTAAACAGGCCGACAGTATGCTGCTAAAGCTGCCTCCTGATTATATGCCGCATGAGGTACTTTATGATAATGGGTTAAATGATATCAAAGCTTCATTCATATTTGACCTCTCAAAAGCACGTATTACATCTTTGATGTTGTTGAAATGAGTACATCACCTTGGCAGACAAGAAAATAAACTGCTTTTGGAGATCCTCTGGTAGATATGTTAATTCCAAAATTATTGTAAAACTATTTCAATTAATACCTTGCATCAGTTAACAAGACTAAAACTTTCAGCTATTAATTACTCTCAGCAAGGTACCTTCAGTTTATTTTAATAAAGATTATCTAACCTGGAATTGAATGTGAAGTTTCATCAGTTTTATTTTCTGGAGAACTGGAAAATAGCTAATGTAACACAATATAGGAACAAATTATTGCAGATGCTGAAATCTGTACTGAAAACGAAAGGTGCTGGAGATCACAGTGGGTCAGGCAGCATCCATGGAGAGACAGCAAGCTAACATTTCCAGTCTAAATGACTCTTCAGCAGAGCTATGATGTAACACGCCTGTTTAAGAAAGTGGGAAAGCAGAAGACAGGAACCTAGAGGCTGGTTATCCTAACCCTGGTTGTTGGTACGATTTTCGAGTCCATCATTATGAATGAGATTGAGGAGTACTTTGGAAGTGCATGGTAACGTAGGGCTGAGTCAGCATGGCTTTGCCAAGGAGTTATCATGCATTAGAATTCTTTGAGGAGGTAATGACTAAGTTATACAAAGGAGAGGCGGTGGGCATGATCTATTTGGATTTACAGAAGGCCTTTGACAAGGTGCTGCACACAAGGCTGCTAAATAAGGTAAGAACCCATGGTGTTAGCAGCAAGGTACTGGCATGGATAAAGGATTGGCTGACTGGCAGAAGGCAGACAGTGGGAATAGAAGGGTCTTTTTCAGGATGACAGCCAGTGACTAGTGGAGTTTCATAGGGGTCAATGTTGGAGCCACAACTATTCATATTATACATTCATGATCTGGACAGAGGAACTGAGGGTATTGCTGCTAAGTGTGCAGATGACACAAAGCTATGTGGAGGAACGGGTAGTGTTGAGGAAGTGGGGAGGCTGCAAAAGGACTTGAACAGGCTAGGAGAGTGGGCAAAGAAGTGGCAGATGGAATACAATGTGGAAAAATGTAAGGTTATGCACTTTAGTAGGAAGAATAGATGTGTAGACATTTTTCTAAATGGATAAAGGCTTTGGAAATCTGAAGCACAAAGAGACTTGGGAGTCCTAGTTCAGGATTTTCTTAAGGTTAATGTGCAGGTTCAGTTGACAGGAAGGCAAATTAGCATTCATTTCAAGAACAGAGATATACTGCTGAGGCTATATAAGACTCTGGTCAGACCACATTTAGAATATTGTGAGCAGTCTTGGGCCCTGTATCTAAATAAAGATGTGCTGGCATTGGTGGGCATCCAGAGGCTTGTCATATGAGGAGCAGCTGAGGACTCTGGGTCTGCATTTGATGGAAATTAAAAGGATGGGTGTGGATCTGATTGAAACTTACAGAATACAGTGAGGCCGGATAGGGTGACGTGGAGAAGATGCTTCCACTAGTAGGAGAGGCTAGGACCATGGGGCACAGTCTCAGAGTGAAGGGACAACTCTTTAGAACTAAGCTGAGGAGGAATTTCTTCAGCCAGACAGTGGTGAATCTGTGGAACTCATTGCCACAGAAGGCTGTGGAGGTCATTGAGTGTATTTAAGACAGAGATAGATAGGTCCTTGGTTAGTAAAGGGATCAAGAGTTATGGAGAGAATGCAGGAGAATGGGGTTGAGAAACATAGCAGTTACAATCGAATGGTGGAGCAGACTCAAATGGCTGAATGGCCTAATTCTGCTCCTGTACCTTATGGTCTGATATCCAGCAATTTTGTTTCATAATTAATGGGAATTGTAAATGCTCCTCTGTAATGCCTTTCATTATATGTATGCCCTGTTTTAATTGTCATACATTTGATATACCAGCAAGCGACTGATACATTCAAGCAAATCAGGTTCCTGTTATGTCAAGAGGTCTCCAAATTGCTTGAACCATGAAGACAATGGGCAAGTGCTTGGTCTGAAGACCAAATGCTAAATGAAGTTTAAAGATTCTTTTCCTAGGATCTCACACACAAAGGGTTGACCTTCCCTGAACAGGATTCCCTCATTTCCCTTCTTGAAACACTGGTCCATATTCATCCCATTCCACACTTACCTTTTGAGTAGGGGATGCTGTTTAAACTTTTCAATGTCCTGCCAGTTTCCCCAGCTTTCTCCTCATGACATAATTATTTATTATAACCAGTCATTAAATTAGCCAGACTATTAGAATAGCCAGAATGGGCAGGCTGTTCACAACACAGCTTTCCCATCCAGAAATAAATTTTCCGCCTTTATCCAGGACAAAGGGACACAGTAACACGGAGTCATTTGAAACCAACACTTATCAAATCCCACCTTTATTTCAGTTTTCTGCATCATTTTAGAAAGCTAGCAGTGACTGTAAACATATTGATCATTTTAACCAAGCCTATTTGTTTTGACAGGTAAAAGCTCGCCTCCTAAAAATGGGAATTTTGAATTCCATGAACATTTTTCTACGGCAAGAAATTGATCGAATGCAGAAGGTTATTACAATGCTCCGAAACTGTCTGAATGACTTAAAGCTAGCCATAGAGGGGACCATCATCATGAGCGAGGTCTGTATTATTCTCCTATCAACAGATGCAACTCACAATTTAAATTCTATTTTATACTCATTCATAGAATTTGTGTATTACTGCCTGATCGGAATTTACTGCCTATAACTAATTGCCCTGGAGACTGTGGTGCTGATCTGCCTTCTTGAAATGCTGCAGTACATGCCTGCCTTCATTGCTCAGACTATTGAGTATAGGAATTGGGTTGCCATGTTGAGGTTGTGCAGGACGTTAGAGAGGCTACTTTTGGAGCACTGTATACAGTTCTGGTTGCCCTGCTATAGGAAGGGTATTATAAAATTGGAGAGGGTTCAGAAAAGATTTAAAAGCTTCTGGTTTGAGTTATAAGGAGAGGCTGGATAGGCTGGCATGTTTTTCACTGAAGCATAAGAGTTTGAGGGGTGACCTTATAGAGGTTTATAAAACCATGAAGGGCATAGATACGGTGAATAGCAAAGGTCTTTTGCCTAGGGTAGGGGAGTCCAAAACTAGAGGACTTATTTTTCAGGCAAGAGGAGAAAGATTTAAAAGGGACCTAAGGAGCAACTTTTCACACAGGGTGTTTGTATATGGAATAAACTGCCAGAGGAAGTGGTAGATGCAGGTACAGTTACAACATTTAAAAGACATTTGGACATGAATAGGAAAGGTTTAAAGGGATATGGGCCAAACACAAGCAAATGGGACTAGTTTAGTTTGGGAAACTTGGTCGGCATGAACAAGTTGGACCGAAGGATCTGTTTCCGTGCTGTATGATTCTATGACTCTATGTCTGGATGAGCACCTGGGGTAATAGGATACCTGTTGTGCTGTTAGAAAGGGAATTCCAGGATTTTAACGAAGCAATAGGGAAGAAACAGTGATATAGTTCCAAGCCAGGATGGTGAGTGACTTGGGAGGAACTTGATGGTGGTGGTATTCCTGTGCATTGGTCACTCTGGTCCTTCTAGACTCTAGAGGTGCTGCCAAAAGAACACTGGTGAGTTACTGCTTGTAGATGATATACATTGGCTGTCACACTGCATTGGTGGTTAAAGGAGTCAATATTGGTGGATGTGGTGTAAGCTGCTTTGGCTTGAAAGCACAACCAACCTATCAGATCTAAACTCTGAAGTCCTGCCACATCCAGATGTGAATAGTGGTAGACAATGAAACACTTCACTAGAGATTGGCACTGCAAATATCCCCATCCTCAGCGATGGGAGAGCCTAGCACATCAGTGCAAAGTATAAGGCTGAAGCATTCACAGCAATCTTCAGCCAGAAGTGCTAAGTGGATGATCCATCACACGAAGCATCACAGATACCAGAGCATGTCCAGAAATGGTTGGAGGCAGTAGAGACAGCAAAGGCTATGGGACCTGACAACATTCCAGCAAAAGTACTGCAGACTTGTGCTCCATAATTTGCCGTTCCCTTAGCCAAGCTCTTCCAGGACAGCTACAAAATTGTTATCTACCTGATAATGTGGAAAATTGCCCAGATATGTCCTATACATAAAAAGCAGGGCAAATCCAACCTGGTCAATGCTGTCCCATCAGTCTACTCTCAATTATAAATAAAATGATGGAAGGTGTCAGTTTGGTATCGAGTGAAGCTGTAGGCTGTTTCATTAAGCCTGCCTTCAAAGTTTGAGCTGCCCTTTCTGCCAAACCATGAAATGATGGATGGTATGGGGCATTCCTTATAAGCCAAATGATATTCGACTTTAAGAAATACTCACAAATTCCCTGCTGGAAAATGAATGGCCCCTTGTCTGTGACCAACACTTCCAGGAGCCTGTATATTAAAAAAGATACTCGCAGTTTTTCTATCGTCATCCCCGTGTTTGACAATTGAACTCTATGCACATCCAGCCATTTTGAGTGGACATTCACAATGACTAAGAACATTGAGCCCATGAAAGGGGCATAGTCAATGTGTACCCATATCCAGGGTTTACCTAGCCATCCCCATAAATGTAGGGGAGCTGCTGGTGGTAATTTTTGTCTTTATTGGCACTCTGGGCACTGCCCCACCAACCTGGCTATGTCTGCATCCAATCCTGGCCACCAGCCGTACCTGCTTGCCAACATCTTCATTTTGGACACTCCTGGATGTCCCTGGGGAGTTCAGCCAGTATCTGGCAGCGACCTTTGCTTGGGACAATCGTGCTTGCTCCCCATAATAAAATACCATCCTCTATGGTGAACTGGTCTCACTAGATCCTTAAAGGGTTCAATTCTGGTTGTGATAGCCCATTTTTTCCATCCATCGCCACCAGCTGTTTTAGTTTTGTCAGAACTGGAACTTGTTGCTTCTGATATTGTTAGAGGTGACCGGAAGGATGTCCACAAAGTTTAAAACCAGAACAGACTCTTCCATTGGTGGCAGCATCACAGGTGGTGTATCTCCCAAACAGGAGTTGGCTCAAGGCATCTGCATTTACTACTTGGCCTCCTGGATAGTGGCCAACTTTGTAATTGAACGCATTTAGAATGAGAGCCCACCGTTGGATTCGAAAAGAAGCAATGGGCAGCATGGCCTTGTCCTCTTTGAGTAGCCCCAGCAGGGTTTGTAGTCTGTTTTACAAATTTATGTGCGTTTCTCACACCAAAGATAACCGCCAAACCTTCCTTCTCTAACTGGGCGTATTTATGCTCTGCATCAGCCAAAGTCTAGGAAACATACACTATTGGGCGTTCCTCTCCATTGGGCCATCTGTGAGCCAATATTACCCCGATACCATACAGGGAGGCATCACATGTCAGCACCAGATCTTGCTTGGGATCATAGTGTGCCAGCATCTGAGACGATCATAGCTGCTTCTTCACTTCCCTAAAAGCTACATCTTATCTATGAGACCATTTCCAAAACTGACCTTTTTTCAATATCAGATGTAAGGGTGCCAGGACGGAGGCTAGATTGAGCATGAACTTTCCATAGCAATTCACCAATCCAAGGAAAGATCTAAACTCCAGTACAGACATGGAAGCCAGGGCACTTTTGATCATCCTCACTTTATCTTCCAATGGGTGTAGCCCATCTTGTTGACGCTGTAGCCCAAGTAGGTCACTTGGGTGTAACACACATTTCTTCCCTTCTCAGGCATACGCCCACCTTGGAGAAACATCTAATGATTATGTCAAAGTTCTCCATTAGACATCATCCATTGACCAGAAACTAGACTTCATGACATAAATACAGTGCCTACGAAGGAGGTCAGAGGTTAGGAATCCTGTTGCTGACTTCCCAAACCCTCTCCATCATCCACAGGGCACAAGTCAGGAAAATGATGGAATACTCCACATCTGACTAGATGGGTGCAGCTCTATCAAGCATCCAAGAAAGTTGACACCATCCAGGATAATAGAGGCTATTTGATGCCAGAGACTGGCAATTCTACCGTAAATCTCCTGATTCCTCAAAATCTGCCTGCAGTCTATAGAGCATAAGGCATGGGTTTGGTTGAATACTCTCTACTTGCCTAAATGAATGTAGAACAAAGAACAAAGAACAAAGAAAATTACAGCACAGGAACAGGCCCTTCGGCCCTCCAAGCCTGCGCCAATCCAGATCCTGTATCTAAACCTGTCGCCTATTTTCCAAGGATCTGTATCCCTCTGCTCCCTGCCCATTCATGTATCTGTCTAGATACATCTTAAATGACGCTATCGTGCCTGCCTGTACCACCTCCGCTGGCAACACGTTCCAGGCACCCACCACCCTCTGCATAAAGAACTTTCCACGCATATCTCCCTTAAACTTTTCCCCGCTCACCTTGAAATCATGACCCCTAGTAACTGAGTACACCACTCTGGGAAAAAGCTTCTTGCTATCCACCCTGTCTATACCTCTCATGATTTTGTAGACCTCAATCTCTGTCCTCAACCTCCGTCTTTCTATTGTAAATAATCCTAATCTACTCAACCTCTCTTCATAGCTAGCGCCCTCCATACCAGGCAACATCCTGGTGAACCTCCTCTGTACCCTCTCCAAAGCATCCACATCCTTTTGGAAATGTGTCGACCAGAACTGTACGCAGTATTCCAAATATGTTCGAACCAAAGTCCTATACAACTGTAACATGACCTGCTAACTCTTTTACAAAAACAAAGTTGCTGGAACAGCTCAGCAGGTCTGGCAGCATCTGTGGAGGAGAAAACAGAGTTAATGTTTCGGGTCCGGTGACCCTTCTTCAGAACTCTTGCCACCTCTTGTACTCAATACCCCATCCGATGAATGAAAGCATGCCATATGCCTTCTTGACCACTCTATCCACCTGCGTTGCCACCTTCAGGGTACAATGGACCTGAACACACAGATCTCTCTGTGCATCAATTTTCCCCAGGGCTTTTCCATTTACCACATAGTTCGCTCTTGAATTGGATCTTCCAAAATGCATCACTTCGCATTTGCCTGGATTGAACTCCATCTGCCATTTCTCCGCCCAACTCTCCAATCTATCTATATTCTGCTGCATTCTCCGACAGTCCCCTTCGCTATCTGCTACTCCACCAATCTTAGTGTCATCTGCAAACTTGCTAATCAGACCATCTATACCTTCCTCCAGATCATTTGTGTATATCACAAACAACAGTGGTCCCAACACAGATCCCTGTGGAACACCACTGGTCACAGTTCTCCATTTTGAGAAACTCCTTTCCATTACAACTCTCTGTCTCCTGTTGCCCAGCCAGTTCTCTATCCATCTAGCTAGTACACCCTGGACCCCATGCAACTTTACTTTCTCCATCAGCCTACCATGGGGAACCTTATCAAACGCCTTACTGAAGTCCGTGTATATGACATCTGCAGCCCTTCCCTCATCTATCAACTTTGGCACTTCCTGAATGGTCTGAATGTAGCTGAAACAACTCCAAGTTACATGACTTGCTGCTTAACCATACGCTGGGTGTACTTCCACTACACAGACTGTAGTGCTTCAAAAAGGCAGATTACCTTTTTAAGGGAAATTAGAGATTAGCAATAAATGTTGGCCCAATCAGAGATATCTACATCCCAGAAAAGAGTAAAAGGAACATCCAGGACAAAGTAACCTGCCTGATTGATGTCCCTTTAACACCATAACCCTTCACTCCCCTCACTATTGGTATGCCATGGCTGCACTATCTATCTTCTCCAAGAAACAGCTTGCCACAGCTTCTTTGCAACACCTCCTGAACCACACAGGAACATCAAAACCATGAGGTTCCTTCCAGCATCCTGGTTACACATTATCCAGAAGCAGGATGTCTTGCTGCAAATGTGCAGGGCCTTGGTTAGAGCTCACCTGGAATATTATGGGCAGTTTTGATCTCCTTATTTGAGGAAGGATGTTCTCACTGTGGAAGAAGTGCAATAAAGGTTTACCAGATTGATTGCTGGGATGGTAGGAGTGATGTATGAAGAGTAATTGGATCAGTTAGGACTATATTCTCTGGAGTTTAGAAGAATGACGGCGGGGGGGGTGCGGATATCACAGAAATCTTTAAAATTTTAACAGGACTAGACAGGGTAAATGCAGGAATGATGTTCCTGATGGGCGAGTCCAGAACCAGGAGTCACAGTCTGAGGATATGGTGTAGGCCATTTAGGACTGAGATGAGGAGAAATTTCACCACCCAGAGATCAGTGAGTCATTGGAATTTTCTGCTAGAGAAAGCAGCTGAGGCCAAAATAGTGAATGGCTTCAAGAATTTATTTAAATGATTTGGATATAGGAGGTATGGTTTGTAAGTTTGCTGATGACACCAAAATAAATGATATCGTTGACATTGAACAAGATTAGCTCAGAGTACAACATGACCTTGATCAGATGCGCCAATGGGCCAAGAAATGGCAGATGGAGTTTAATTTAGACAAATGTAATGTGTTGCATTTTGGTAAGGAAAACCAGGGCAGGACTTATACAGTTGACAGTAGGCCCCTGGGGAGTGTTACTGCATAAAGAGACCGAGGTTTGCAGGTGCATAGTTCTTTGAAAGCGGAGTCGCAGGTAGACAGAAGGTCAAGAAGGCATTTAGCATGCTTGCCTTTATTAATCAGAACGCTGAATATAGGAGTTGAGACATCATGTTGCAGCTGTACAGGACACTGGTGAGGCCAGTTTTAGAATACTGCATACAATTCTGGTCATCCTTCTATAGGAAGGCTGTTGTTAAACTTGACAGGGTACAGAAAAGATTTACGAGGATGTTGCCTGAACTGGAGAGTTTGAGTTATAGAGAGAGGCTGAATAGGCTGAGGCTTTTTTCCCTAGATCTTCGGAGGCTGAGAAGTGACCTTACAGAGATTTATAAAATCATGGGGGGCATGAATAAGGTGAATAGCCAAGATCTTTTTCTTACGGTTGGGGAGTCCAAAAGTAGAAGGCATAAGTTTAAGGTGAGAGGGGAAAGATTTATAAAGGACCTGAGGGGTAACTTCTTCATGCAGAGGGTTGTTCATGTATGGAACGAGCTGCCAGAGGAGATGATGGAGGCAGCTACAGTTACAACTTTTAAAAGGCATCTGGATGGGTATATGAATAGGAAGGGTTTGGAGTGGTATGGGCCAAATGCTGGCAAATGGGACAAGGTCAGTTTGGGATATCTGGTTGATACAGACGAGTTGGACTGAAGGGTCTGTTTGCATGCTGTATGACTCTAAGACTATAAGCTAGATATAGTTCTTCAGGCTAAAGGAATCAAAGGGAGAAAACAGGTACAGGGGACTGAGTTGGGTGATGAGCCATGATCATATTAATGGTGGAACAGGCTCAAAGGGCCAAATGGCCTACTCCTGCTCCTAATTTTTATGCTTCTATATGTATCTCAAGTACAATTAGGGATGGGCAATAAATGCTGGCCTTATCAGTGATGGTTATACCTTGTGAACTATGAAGCAAACATATCATTTCAATCATTTGTCGACATCTGGTCAAGTCTTGGATTCTATATAACATGCTTTTCCATTACAGAATTTAACAGATGCCTTGGATAACATGTACAATGCCCGTGTACCCGGGCTGTGGAAGAGGATTTCCTGGGATTCCACTACTTTGGGATTTTGGTTCACAGAATTCCTAGAGAGAAATGCACAGTTTTCTTCCTGGATATTTGAGGGCAGACCCAATGTGTTTTGGATGACAGGGTTCTTTAATCCCCAGGGTAAGTACCTGTAATTGCAAGAACATTACACACTGGCAATAAACATGAAGCATTATTAGTTTGTTATTATTTGTGTCGTTTACTGATTGTAAATTGCACTTAGTTCATCATTGTTTTGGAAATATGCACCAAACTGTATCTATATTAAACCATCCCAAAGCATTTCACAATAATGTTCAAAATAATAATTAATAATTAATACTGAACCATGCAAGGAGATGTTATGACAAATGACTAAAAGTTTAGTCAACGTTGGAGGTTTCAAGGAGCATATTAGAGAAGTAAAACGAGAAGGACCAGTGGAAAGGTTTAGATTGGGAATTGTAAAGCATTAGATCTAAGCAGCTGAAGATGGAGATTAAATTGGATATACTCAAGAAGCTAGAATTGGAGACACAGATGTCTTGTAAATTTGTGGGACTGAAGAGATTATAGACTTGCCGAAGGGTGAAATGGTTGTGGACTTTTGAAAACAAGAATGAGAATTATCAATCAAGGCATTTCTTAACTGGAGGTCAATCAGCACATGAGTGATGACTGAATGGGATTAGTAGGAATGATAATATAGTTTTAGCAGAGATATGGGGGGTGAACCATGACTGCTTTGGAATAATGAGCTGACTGATGCAGAGGTCATTCGTAAAATCATGTACAAACAAAAGGGGGAAATTAAAGCAATCCCTACAACTAGGAATGGGCAAGAAATGCTGCCCAGCCAGCGACACCCACATCCCACAGATGAATAGAAAAAAAACAGTGAAAAGCTATCAGGAAAATGAATGATTAAAATTAAGGGTTATCTTAAGACTTGGATTTGATAGTCTGTATCTTAAGGTCTTAAAAGAAACATTTATAGTGATTTTGGGGAGGCAATGGCCTAGTAGTATTATCACTGGACTGTTAATTCAGAGACCCAGATAATGTTCTGGCGACCCAGGTTCGAATCCCCTGACCGGAGATGGTGGAACTTGAATTCAATAAATATCTGGAATTAAGAATCTAATGATGACCCTGAATCCCTTGTCAATTGTCGGAAAAACCCATCTGGTTTCCCTTTAGGGAAGGAAACTACCATCCTTACCTGGTTTGGCCTACATGTGACTCCAGACCCACAGCAATGTGGTTGACTCTTAACTGACCTCTGGGCAATTAGGGATGGGCAATAAATGCTGCCTAGCCAGTGATGCCCTCATCCCATGAAAATGAATAAGGATAGCTACATTAGTTATAATCTTCCAAAAATTGCCCAGATTCTGGACCGCTCCCTGCAGGGTTGAAAACAATAAATGGGACACCTCTATTCTAGAAAGGACAGAACCAGAATGCAGGAAACTACAAGCCAGTTAGCCTAGCATCTATTATTGAAAAAATGTTTGAATCCCTTATTAAGGAAGAAATATCAAAGATTCAGAAAACCAAAGTACAATCAGGCAGAGTTAACAGAGTTAACTTGGTTTTTGAAAGAGAAAGCATGTTTGACGAATTTATTAGAGTTCTTTGAAGATGTGATAAAAGCATGGGTAAAGGGAAACCTATAGATGTAGTGGAGATTTCCAAAAGACATTTGAGAAAGTACCACATAAAAGATTACTGCACCAGGTAAGAGCTCATGACATTGGAGAAAGAATTGGATAACTAACACGAAACTGGAAGTAGGGATAAACAAGTTATTTTCAGGTTCGCAAGCTGTAGCTAATGGCGGGAGTTGAGGGTGGTGTTCCAGGGATGTGTGTTATTTATAACCTATAACGATGATTTATTGAAAGGACAGCGTGTATTGGTGTCAAATTTGCTAATGTATGAAGTTGATGAGAAAATATGTTGTGGGGAGGGCACAAAGAGAGTGGAGTAAACATTTGGCAGGTTGAGTGTAACATTGGAGGGTGTGAGGTTGTCCATTGCAGAAGTAACAGTAGAAAAGCAGAATATTATTTGAAGGAAGAGAGAGACTGTAGAATGCTGCAGTACAAAGGGATTTGGGTGCCCTGAAACATGAATCAGAAAAAATAAGTTTGCATATACAGCAAGTGATAGAAAGGCAAATGCAATGTCAGTTTTTACTGCAGTAGGGATGGAAAAGAAAAGGAGGGAATATCAATATAGTGTATAGGACTTTCATCCATAGAATTATGTAGATTTTTGGTTTCCATTTTCAAAAATATATATACATGTATTGGAGGCAGTTCAGAGTCGTTAGCTAGAATGATTCCTGGGGTGCAGGTTTTGTGTTATAAGGAATTGTTGAGCAGGCTGACCCTACACTTATTGGAGTTTAGAAGAATGAGGTGTGATCTTATTGAAATATATATGATTCTGGGGGCACTTGACAAGATATATGCGGAGATGACGATTTCTCTTCAACCATAGGGGACAGTTGGAAAATAAGGAGCCTCTCATTTGAGAAGAACATGAGGAAGATGGTTTCCTTTCAGAGAATTATTAATTTTGGAATTCTCTACCATAGGGAGCGGTGGAGGCTGGGTCATTGAATCTATTCAAGGCTGAGTTAGACAGAGTTTTGATCCACAAGGGAGTCAAAGGTTATTGGAAGGCAGACAAGAAGTACAGTTGGAGCCAAAATCTGATCAGCCGTGATACTGATATGCAAAGCAGACTCAAGGAGCTGAACGGTTTGCTCCCTTTACTGAATTCTTGCATTCTCATATGTAGGATAATTTAACCAAGATGGAAAGAGGCAGTCTTACGGACAAGTAAATAAGAGGTCAAAAGTGTACTTCAGGGTCAGGTATGCCAACATCTCAGTACCATCTTATACCATTGGCAGGGACAGAGATGGAGTCAGTGGTCAGGGAACATAGCTTGTGGTTGGCACTAAAGATAATTATTTCAATCTTCCAATATTTTGTTGAAGGAAAGGTCTAAATGACCTTTTCAATTGTTTCATCAAAGAACTCCAAAAATTGGTGGTATGGTATTTAGCAAGGAAGAAAGCCTTGGACTACAGGAGGATATAGATGGGCTGGACAGATGGGCTAGTCAGTAGCAAATGGCATTTAATCCTAATGCTCGATAATTAATTTTAATTAATTATGTATTTTAGGAGGACTGAAAAGGCAAAGGAGTACATGTTTGATAGTAGGACCCTAGGAAGTACAGAGTTTAAGAGGGACCTTGATGTGCATGTCCATAGGTCCTTGAAGATGACAGGACAGATAGATAAGGCAGTTAACACACTATATCGATCCTTGCATTTATTAGTTCAAGTAATTGAATATAAGAGCAAGGTGGTTATGATAGAGTTATATATAATATTATTTCGGCCACAGCTTCAGTACTACATGCAGTTCTGATCGTCACACTATCGGAAGAGTGAGATTGCAGAAAAGAGGGTGCAGAGGAGATTTACCTGCAATGTCTTGAGGACAGTTGGCATTGGGCAATAAATTCTGGCCTTGCCAACCATGTTTACATCCTGTAAATTAATTTTAAAAACTATGCAGTGACTAAGTTAGAATTGGTTTGTATTCCACTTGTGTAAAAGAACCAAAGTGGATTTATTATCTTGCATAGAAAAGAAAGAAAACAAATTGTATTTATTTTGTACACAGGATTCTTAACTGCTATGAGACAGGAGGTCACACGTGCACATAAAGGCTGGGCATTGGACAGTGTCACTCTACACAACGAAGTAACAAAACTGATGAAAGATGAAATCAAAATACCACCCCCGGTTTGTATACAGTAAATGACAGCGTGTAGTTAATTCCATGTATTTTTTTTCATTATGGGATGTGGGCATCACTGGCTGACCAGATTTACTGCCTGCTCCTATTGCCCTTGAGAAGGTGGTGGTGAGCTGCCTTGAACTGCTGCACCCCACCTGCTATGTGTTGATCCACAATGCTGTTAGGGAGGAAATTCCAGGATTTTGACCCAGTGATAGTGAAGGAAAATTAAATTTGGATTGCATGGAGATTAGGCTGGTCTGAGTATTCTGTACTATGCTTTCATTTTATCTTAAGAGAGTTCTGTTGGAGGGAATCGGATACTGTCAATCAGAAAATAGGGCAAAATTGGTCTGCTGCAAAAATGTGCACTAGGAATATCAATTTTACTGACTATTGAGGTAGCTGAAGATAAAGGAGCAGATGTAAGCCTTTCAGCCCATCACGCTAGCTCTGTCATTCAATGAGATCATGGTTGACCTGATAATCCTCAACTCCAATTTATGCCTTTTCACCATAACATAGAAACATAGAAAATAGGAGTAGGCCATTCAGCCCTTCGACCCTTCGCTGCCATTTAGGATAATCATCCGACTCAGTCCCCTGATCCTGCTTTCTTCCCATACCCTTTGACCCCTTTCGCTCTAAGAACTCTATCTAACTCCTTCATGAAAACATTCAACATTTTGACCGCCAACTCTTTCTGAGGCAGATTCTTTTGTTTTCTCTGCGGATTCAAATCGCATCCACAAACTCAAAGCTTATTACAACCAGATCCTGGTTGAGCCTCAAATTGTTTCAACCAGACCATAGGAGAGATTCCTGAAGTTATTACAGTTTTAGATGGAATATCCCTAACTCCTGGATGAGGAGGATGAACTGAATCCATTTCTTTATTTTCCCACATTCTCAGTTTGTTGCAACAAAGTTATTTTGCAAAGAATCTCCTCCCTGTGTATATCTTCCTCCAAAATCAAATGAATTTGTGTTTTAAAAGGAGCCAATTTAACCAGGCTTTCTAGAATTAACAACAGAATGCTAAATGTGAAAAGAAATAATGACAAAGTTTAGGCATGAGAAGTGAGTTCAAACAAAATAAAAAAGTTCAAAGATACACAGTTCAGTCTCTGGGATGCTCATGAAGGGAAGACTTTGATAGTTGAATAATCTATTTAAAGATTCTTGGCTTTGCAGTTGATTGAAATTGTTTTGTTTGTTTTAACTGGCTTGCTGTCTGCTCATACTTCTTGAATGAGATGGTCCTTTACCTGCAACATGGGGTGACCAGTGCACATTTTTTTTTTACTGTAACCTTCTCAGCGCACTGGCACTTGAACCCAAACTATTATCAATGTGCCTTCTTCCATGAGTACACACAGACCAGGGTTGAATTGGATTTTTACCCAAGTTCTGTTGTATTCTTGAAAGTGGGAGATACAAAATATGTCTCTTACCTAGACTGCTGTCCTTTCTCCGACATGCTCATAGTCTGAGATAACAGACAATGACAGTTCATTTTGAAGCCCGCTTTCTTCCTTTTAAGTCCATCTCTCTGAAGCCTCCTTGTCACCTTGTCAGGTGCAAGATTACAGGGTCTCTCTTTCCAGAAAGCCACTAAATTTACATCCCACAATTGTTCTGGCTGTAGCAGTCCTTTTTTTAAAAGACACGCTGGAACTAATTTCCAACATGTCCATCTGTGGTTAAGATTCACGGTCATGACACATTCTCTCACTCTAAGTGCCTATCCAGCCTGGAGATGTCCTTAACCCCAGCACCAGGTAGGCAAAAAAAAAACTTTCAGGCCTCATACTGTCAGTTGCGAAGAAATGTATGTATCCCCCAGTCATACAACCAAAGCCATCTTTGAGAAACTACATAAAGTTCAAATGTGTTAAAGGTAAATTGTCTTTGACGAAGGATGAAGTCCTTTGATAATTAGAGAGAGTTTATGCTGTGTATAGACAATACAGTGTGGAGGTGGAGGAACACAGCAGGCCAGGCAGCATCAGAGGAGCAGGAAAGTTGATGTTTCAGGTCGGGACCCTTCTTCAGAAATGGGGAGGGGGAAGGGTGATGGGAAATAAATAAATAGAGGAGGGGTGGGGCTGGGGAACGTCGGTGGGATGCTGAATGCATGTAGGGAATGTTGGGGATTAGTCAGTAAGGTGGGAGATGCAGATAGGTGGGAGAGAAGACAGACAGGTTGTGTCAGGTCAAGGAGGCGGGGATGAGAGGGAAGATTGGACATGGGATGAGGCCGGGGGAGCGGGGAGATTTTAAAACTGGAGAATTCCACATTTAGGCCATCGGGCTGTAGGCTCCCAAGGCAGAATATGAGGTGCTGCTCCTCCGGTTTGTGGGTGGCATCACTGTGGCACTGGAGGAGGTCCAGGATGGACATGTCACCCAGGGAGTGGGAGGGGAGTTAAAATGGTTGGCGACCAGAAGGTATTGTTGTTTGTCGCGTACAGAGCACAGATGCTCTATGAAACGGTTTCTGAGTCTATGCCTGGTCTCATCGATGTAGAGGAGGCCACATCGGGAGCAGCGGATACAGTACATCTCCTCACCCCTGGCGTCATCCCATGTCCAACCCTCCTTCTCATCCCCACCTCCTTGACCTGACACAACCTGTCCATCTTCACGCCCACCTATCCGCCTGACCCATCACACTGACCAATCCCCACCACTCCCTACCTGCACTCACCTATCACCATGCTACCTACCTTTCCCAGACCCAACCCTCCTCTCTATTTATTTCCCAGCTCCCTTCCCCCTCCCCATTTCTGAAAAAGGGTCCTGACCCAAAACATCAACTTTCCTGCTCCTCTGATGCTGCCTGGTCTACTGTGTTCCTCCAGCTCCATACTGTGTTATCTCTGACTCCAGCATCGGCAGTTCTTATTATCCCTGAGAAGCTGGTACTATTTTCCCTTGAAGGGAGAAAGTTAAAGAGCAGTTTGGTAAAGCATTCAAAATTATGAATGGTTTTAAAGAATAAATAGGGAGAAATTATTTCTCAGGGCAAATAGTTCAGTTCCAGGTTAGACACAGAGCGTCCCAAAGCATCATACAAAATGTTTTTGTAACGCAGTGAGTTCTTGCAATTGGGAAGGCATTGTCGAGAAATTTTATAGGAGGAGATTCAGTTGGGATTTGGATAAACATACGAAAGAAAATAAATGACAAGGCAATCAGTGTGAACTCAATTGGGTATTTCCAAAACAAGCTGGCTGAAGATCCAGTGAAATATCACCTTCTGTGCTGTAAAATTCCATGGTTTTAACTTTCCTCCAGTCTTGTTAACATTCAGTCTCTGTCTGCTTGCCTGGCAGGAGGGAGTGTACATTTATGGCCTTTACCTCGACGGAGCAGGTTGGGACCGGAGAAATATCCGACTGACTGAATCAACTGCCAAGGTCCTCTTTACAATGCTACCCGTCATTTATATGTTTGCCATCAATTCCACTGCACCCAAGGATCCAAAACTGTATATCTGTCCAGTTTATAAGAAACCGCAACGTACAGACTTGAAGTTTATTACTGCCCTCTGTCTGAAAACAGTCCAGCCACCTGACCACTGGATCCTGAGAGGGGTGGCTCTGCTCTGTGATATCAAGTGAAACAGCAGATGCTTAGAGAGAGTGTGTTTTAGCTCCTGCATTTATATACAATGCCTTATAAAATATAATAAGACGATATTAAAGTGAAATGTTAATGTATTGCATTTATGTATTTATAGCACACTTTATAAATGTTAATGCAAATACATTCTGTTCATTTCTTATTTAATAAATCAGTTCACTACCAGTATCTTATTCATTGTTATACAATTTTTTTAGTGCATTGATCTAAGCAGGTAAACAGAATAAAAATGAGGTGGTAACAAGAAAGAAAAATAGTCAAAATATTTTCCAAGCTTGTCGCTGTAGGCCATTGACCCAGCACTCTGGCTGGAGGAAGACAAGAGCTCGATGCATGCATGTAGGTAAGGATCAAATGCTATCAGCACCCTCAGAGTCAATTTCATTTCATCACCCTCCTCCACCTGTTTTGTTTCCAATAACTCCCCTTTTATTCTTTAAAACCATTCATGATATTTAAAGGGAACCTCCTGATAAATCTTTATTTTTATTTGTTCAATTTTTATATTAATTTTTCTGCCTATTGAAGGAACTCCAGTTTTTGCTGAATCCTGTATAATTTCTTCAAGAATGTGTATAGTTTGTGCTCTAAACAATGAATGTTTGTCCTTATTTACACAGTACCTTATTTACCAATTCTTATTTCCTGTTTACTTGGACCAATTTTCCACCAGCTTTGTCTCTTCTTTCAGTATTCATATTAATCTGATTATACCACAATTTCCTAGATTTCAATACTTTGCATCTTTACACACAGTTCAAATCTACCTGTCTTGGCAATCTTACTCATTGTAATCCTTCCTCCATAGAGTTTATCTTTCATCCTAAATTCCTGACTATTTGGGAACAGAACAGAAGAGACCCTCCTGTCCATTGAGTCTGTACTGCCAAAACTCTGCTAATTCTATATGCACGCCACTTTCCAGCATTTGGCCCATAGCCTTGAACGTTTTGACACTTCAAGTGCTCATTCAAGTACTTTTTAAAGGTTTTGAGGTTTCCTACCTCAACTACCCTCCCAGGCAGTGCATTCCAGATTCCCACCATCTTATAGAATAGAGTATCATAGAATAGAATCCCTACAGTGTGGAAACAGGCCCTTCAGCCCAACAAGTCCACACCAACCCTTTGAACATCCCACCCAGACCTATCTCCCTAATCTACACATCCCTGAATACTATGGGTAATTTAGCATGGCCAATCCACCTAACCTGCACATCTTTGGACTGTGGGAGGAAACCCACGCGGACACGGGGAGAATGTGCAAACTCCACTCAGACAGTCATCCGAGGCTAGAATCAAACCTGGGTTCCTGGCTCTGTGAGGCAGCAGTGCTAACCACTGAGCCACCGTGCCACCCTTCTAGATGAAAAGATTCAATCTAAACCTATCACCTTAAAATTGTGCCCCCCTTGTATTGGCCCTTCAACTAAGGGCAACTTTCTACCTTTTCTACTGCTTTCTACCCACCCTGTCCATGCTCCTCATAATCTGACACACCTCTTTCAGGTCCCCTCTCAAACTTCTCTGCTCCAAGGAAGACATGAGCTTTTCAAGCCTCTCTTCATAGCTAAAGTGCTAGGTAACATTCTGCTGAATCTTTTCTGCATCCTCTCCAGTACAATCACATCCTTCCTACAGTGATCAAAACTATACACAATATTCCAGCTGTGGCCTAACAAAAGTTCTACCACTTTCCTGTAGCCAGTCATTTCAACATGGTGTCCTACTAGCATGCCCACTTGTCTGTCCTCAGCATGCTGCAGTGCTCCAGTGAACCACAGCACAAACTGGAGGAACAACATCTCATCTTCAGATTAGACACTTTACAACCTGGACTTAATATTCAGTTCAACAGTTTCAATATGTGAACCAATTCCCATTTCTTCCCTTTCTTTTAGCTTTACTCGTTACATTCTCTGTCACCATGTCTCTTCTTTGAAAGTGGAGTCACAGATAGACAGGGCAGTGAAGAAGACTTTGGCACACTGGCATTCATCAGTCAGGGCACTGAGTACAGAAGTTTGAAAGTTATGTGGCAGTTGTACAGGACGTTGATGAGGCCGCACTTGGAGTATTGTGTTCAGTTTTGGTCACCTTGCTATAGGAAGGATGTTATTAAACTGGAAAGAGTGCAGAAGAAATTCATAAGGATGTTGCCAAGACTCAAAGAACTGAATTATAGGGAGAGGTTGGACAAGCTAGGACTTTTTCTTTAGAGTGTAGGATACTGAGGGAAGATCTTAAAGAAGTATATAAGATCATGAGAGGCACAGATTGGGTGAATGCACTCAGTCTTTTTCCCAGAGTTGGGGAATTGAGGACTGAAGGGCATCAGTTTAAGGTAAGAGGGGAAAGAATACGTGGGAACCTGAGGGGACAACTTTATACACAGAGGGTGGTACGCATATGGAATGAGCTGCCAGCAGAAGTGGTTGAGGCAGGTACATTAGCAACATTTAAAAGACATTTGGATGAATACGTGGATAGGAAAGGTTTAGAAGGATATGGGCCAAGTGCAGGGAAATTGGATTAGTGTGAATAGAGATTTTGGTTGGCATGGAGCCAAAGGGCCTGTCTCCATGCTGTAGGACTCTATGACTCTATGTCCTCTCTCCCCTCCCCCCATTCCAGAGGAACTGTCTTCTCTTTCCAGTCTGGCAGTCGGACACACCATTGTTCTGCCATTCTCACATTCTGATCACTTAATCTGAACAACCAATATCTTTTCTCTGCCAGCACTCTACACCCCACCACCGCCACACCCCCCAAAAAAAAAGTAGCATAAATGCTGCACGCTCCACACTTCAGCTCTGATGAAGAGTCAACTGGACTTGAAACATTAGCTTGCATTCTCACAATGGATGCTGTCTAATCTGCTGTGATCTCCAGCATTTGTTGTTTTTTATCACCACCCTCTGATTCTTATCACTAAACCAATTTTGGATCTAGTTTCCCAAGTAACCCTGGATCTGGGACCGTGTCAAAGGCCTTGCTGAAATCCACATCAACTGCACTACCATCATCCACATACCAGGTCACCTTCTCAAAAAGTTCAACCAGATTTATTAGACATGACCTGCCTCTGACAAAGCCATGCTGATTATCCCTGAATAAACATTGCCTCTCTAAGTGGAGATTCATCCCAGAATTTTCTCCAGTGGTTTCTCTGACACTGATGTGAGACTCATTGACTGTAAGATACATGAGCACCATTAGGCTATTCAGCACAGAGTCTGCTCTGCTATTTGATCATGGCTGATATGTTTCTGAACCCCATTCTGCTACCTTCTCTCCATAACCTTCCACCCCCTTACTAATCAAAAACCTATCTATCTCTGTCTTAAATACACTCTATGAACTGGCCTCCGCAGCCTTCTGCAGGAATGAGTTCAACACCTTAACCACCCTCCAGCTGAAGAAATTCCTCCTCATCTCAGTTTTAAAGAGTCATCCTTTCAGTCTGAGGCTTTGCCCTAGAGTCCTAGTCTCTCCTACTAGTAGAAACATCTTCTCCATGTCCACTCTAACCCAGACACCCAGTATTCTGTAAGTTTTAATTTAATCTATACTCCTCCTTCTAATTTCCATCAAATGCAGACACAGAGTCATCAACTGCTCTTCATATGAGTCCTTCATCCCTGGGATCATTCTTGTAAACCTCCTGGATGCCCACCAATGTCAACACATCCTTCCTTAGAAATGGGGCCAAAAACTGCTCACAATATTCCACATGCAGAGCCATATTCAGCCTCAAAGTACATCTCTGCTGTTGCATTCTAGCCCTCTTGAAATGAATGCTAACATTGCATTTGCCTTCCTAATTGTCAACTGAATTTGCAGGTTAACCTTAAGAGAATCCTGAACTAGGACGCCCAAGTTCCTTTGTGCTTCAGAATTCCGAAGTCTTTCCACATTCAGAAAATGGATCATCCCTCTTTTCTTACTAAAGTGCAAAACCTCACACTTTCCAAGATTGTATTCCACCTTCCACTTCTTTGCCCACTCTCCTAGCCTGTCTAAGTCCTTCTGCAGCCTCCCCACTTCCTCAACACTACCTGTTTCTCCCAAATCTTTGTGACATCTGCAAGCTTAGCAAAAATAAACCTCAGTTCTTTTGTCCGGATCGTTAACATATAACGTGAATTGTTGTGGTCCCAACACTGACCCCTGCGGAACTCCACTAGTCATTGGCAGTACCTTGTCGCTAACACCACGGGTTCTGAGGAAGGGTCACTGGACCCGAAACATTAACTCTGTTTTTTGCTTCACAGATGCTGCCAGACCTGCTGAGCTTTCACAGCAACTTTGTTTTTGACCATGGGTTCTTACCTTATTTAACAGCTCCTTGTCAAAGGCCTTCTGTAAATCCAAATAGATGAAAATCCAAAATCATGTCCACTGGCTCTCCTTTGTATAACTTACTTATTGTCTCCTCAAAGAATTCTAATCGATTTGTCAGGCATGATAACTCCTTGATGAAGCCATGCTGACTCAACCCTATTTTACCATGCACATCCAAGTACTCCTCAATCTCATCTTTAATAATGGGCTCTAAAATCTTACCTTCAACTGATATCAGGCTAATCAGCTTATAATTTCCTGTCTTCTGCCTCACTCCCTTCTTAAACATGGCTGTTACACTAGCAATTTTCCAGTCCTCTGGGACCTGCCCTGATTTGTTATTCCTGAAAGATCACCACCAATGCCTCCACATTCTCCCTCAGAAGTCTGGGGTGTGGTCCATCTGGTCTGGGTGATTTATCCACTTTCAGTCCTTTTTCCTTGGTGATAGCCACTACAGTCATCTCTTCCCCCTGACTCTCAAAGTTCTGGTCTGTAATTCCCTGGTTATCCATCCTTCTTGGAAAGTAGATCAAAATTGGCTATCCTCCAATCCTCTAGCATCTCCCCTGTGTTCAGAGAGAAATTAAAAATTTTGGATCAGAATACCTGTACTTTTCTCTCTCATCTTGCATTGCAGCCTGGACCACCGTTCATCCAGACCTGGGGATTTGACCATTTTGAAGCCCACCAAAATCTCTTCACTCCTGTATCGATCAGCTTAAGAACCTCACAGTCCCTCTTCCAAAATTCTGTATCGACATCTTCCTTCTCCTGAGTGAAGGCAGATGTGAAGCATTTGTTTAACATTCTACCAATGTCCTCCAGCTTCACACATAGATTTCCCCTTGGTCCTTACTCTTTCCCTGGTTAGACTCTTTCTCTGTAAAATATCTTGCAATTCTCCCTAATCTCGTCTACCAGTGTTTTTTCATAGGGCGCTCCACGAATTACTTTCTTCAGTTCTACCTTGCACGTTCTACACTCCACTAGGCCCATATTGATTTGCTACCTGTTCTACGGCCTTTTCCTTTTAATCCAGTACTGAATATTCCTAGACATCCCGGGTTCTCTGAGGTTGTTGTTCCTACAGATTTGACCCTAAAGGGAACTGTACTCTCCCCAGTTCCTTTTTGAATGCACCGACTGTTCTGCTCCAGATTTACCCTCAAGTAGCTGTTCCCATTCAAATTTAGCCAAATTCTGAACTTTTTTTATAATCAAATCTGCCTCGCCCCCAATCCAAAACTGCTCTTTCATAGGCCATCTTTTACCTTTTCCATAATAAACTTAAAACATATTGTGCTCTATTCACTACTATTAAAATACACCCACTGCCACCTCAAACTGCTGCCAGGCTTCATTTCTTTTCCTTCATCTTGTTTTATTTCTGTTCTCCCTTCCATACTGATTTAGATCCTTTCCTGAATCATTGCACTAGCCCACTGCTGATCTAGAATGTTCCCATTGCCCCACAGTCTGAATTTGCCTTTGTATTCCATATTTCCAGCAATAAAATATACTGCCTTTTCTGATAATTCTCAAGTGGCCAAGCATATAAAGCAGGAATAATTCTGAGCCTATTATCTTCCAAAATCTTTTTCCAAGGCCTCAGTTCTATTCTGATGTCAGCTATTTCAATGTGAACCACAAGTAACTTTGACCTGAAACTAAAGGCAAAGGTATGAAGACAAAGTTGGCTGCGTGGATGGAAAACAGGTTAAGAATTTTTTTTAGCAGTTAAGCAATGGCAGTCATTTCAGATTTAATTCTATAAGTGTGTTCCATTGATAAATAAACTGTACTGGAGGGTGTATCATTTGTGACCAATAAGATTAGGATGGCATCAAGTTGAAAGAAAAGCTTAATGCTGCAAATAGTAGTGGTATTAGACAACTCAGAAAATGTAAAAACAAGAGCAATGAAAGGAGAAAATTTAGTACAAGAGCAAACTCATAAGAAATATGAAACAAGCATCAAGTCCTTAAGAAGGGTCACTGGACCCAAAACGTTAACTCTGCTTTATCTCCATAGATGCTGCCAGACCTGCTGAGTTTTTCCTGCAATTTCTAATTTTGTTTCTGCACAGTAGGTGCTCCTGCAGTTCCTTAGAGGATGATGCTGGAGAATTAATACTTGGTGCAATGAAATGGCACAGGCCTTTTTAAATCTGTATTTTGTAGGTTTTTAAAGGTAAGAATTGTAGACAATCATGGGTTTTAAAAAAAGAGAACTTAAAACCATTATCATTAGAGGAAAAATTGGGAAAATTTATGTGGAATATTAACTTCAGTGCACCTGAATTCATAACATATGGGCATTGGTTGCTGGGCCAGGATTTCTTTCCCATCCCTAATTGCCCTGGAAAAGGTAGTGTCCAGAAATGTGCAGGCTAGGTGGATTAGCCATGGTAAATGCAGGGTTACAGGGATAGAGTGCGGTGGCTGAGTCTGGGTGGGACACTCTTCAGTAGGTCAATGCAGGCTCAATGGGCCAAATTGCCTCTTTCCACACTAATTCTCGTCATGAATATGTCATGCATTCAGATATTGTGCAATTTGGATATTTTGCTTTTTCTCCTGCAACAGACTTCATCTTTTATGCCCTCTTACTTTGACTGGATTCCTCATCTCCTGTGGGAGAAAAGATGCTGGTACCTGCCCCAGTCCATCACAATCACTTTTGCTCCAGCACAAGTGGCTTCTCACTCTTGGGGCTGCTCCTTAAATTAGTTCACATGGTCTCACAGGACATTAAAAAATATGAAGCCATATCAATAATCAAGAAATCGACGTGGTCTGGTGTAAAAATCACCATGTTCAGTGATGTTCTTTCGGGAAGGAAATTTGCTATCCTTACCTGTGTGGTTCCAGACCCACAGTAATGTAGTTGGCTCTCTAACTATCTTTGAATTGACCTTACTAAAGGCAGTCAGGAGTGGACAACAATGGTTGTTCTTGCCAGAAACACCCAAATCCCAAAGAAACAAAAAGCCACATCCAATAATAAAAGTGTAATGAATTCACACAGGAAGTTTGATATATAAAAGTTTATAATCCACACTTTAAAATTCGTTAAAAATACATTGATTGTGAGCACCATGTTTGAAAAGCTGATATAAAATGTTAGATCATTCTTCACATTGATTTTTCACTAATAAAGTACTTGGTTTTTAATATTTTCTGGAAGGAATAATTAAAGTTAAATGTTTGGAATTATCTACCCAGAGAGCAATGCTGAGCATATCAAAATTCAAGGCCAATAGATTTTTGAGCACTGTTATGACACAGGGATAGCAAACCAAACCAAATTATTCACTACCACTGGTTTTGCAACGCAGTGATCTTAAAAGATTCAATGATCCTCAAAATTGCCCAATTGTTCCTAACCAGACTTTACAAATAACAAATCTTGGACACATTTATAACTTAAACAAAAATTAACAATGTATTAATAATGTAACTTTACTAGAACACAGATAAACAGGGATAAATTAAACAGACAAACAAAAAAATCTTGATTTGCCAGTTAAATAATTGTTTTAACAATGAATACTAGACCTTCACGAAATCCTTTGATGAGACGTATTACAAGCATGTAATACTGTACGCTTTGCTTGAATTCTAAAGTTACTGGTCAATGCAAACAGCTTCTGCAGATCGCTGGAGATTTCTACTTATTTCTTACAACTGGGATTCTTAGAGCTTTCAACAAATTGATAACTGGAGAATAACTAGACAGAACAAAAACAAAAAAAAGCTTCCCAGTGCGATAGCTTCTGAAGCAAAACTGCCTCCATCCTGCCCAGTCACAGCTAATTCACTCTTTGTTTTCTCTTTCTTTTTCAATCTCGTCTGCGGTTGGCTGGCCAACACCAATTCTCCCTTGACCAATTCAACATTCAACTCACTGCCAGTCCATAAGCATAACATCTTGGTGTGAGTTTGTCTATAGTGTTCTTAGAGCAGTACCTAACCTGCACTATTTTTCTAGACCAATTTCCAATAGAAAACATCAGTCTTTTGTTCCTTCCCTTTTTTTAAACAAAGTAAGCTGAAGTTCAAAGTTCAATTCTCAACTGTAACTCAGTTCCAAACCAAACTTGAGAAAAAATTTTTAAAATGGTGATGGTCTCAACGGCATAAACGGAATCAAGAAATAGGAGATGGGAAGGAATCTGGAGTTGCAAAGCTGCTAAGTCAAGATTTTATTAAAATGGTGGAAGGGGTTGGACAGTTCATATGGCCTACTGCTCTTAGTTTCTAGCGGGGCAGTTATCATTATGGACCTTGACTCTCATGCTACCCTCATACAGGGCAGTTATGGATTGGTTCAAAGCAGAGCCTAACCATTTCCTCTGGATAGCTTTCAAGAGTAGAAACTCGAGCTTATTCCCAATTTTAGCCCAAGGATACAAAGACCAACTATCATTGACCAAATCAGGCATTCTGACCCTTTCTCCTTATCAATCTGTTGCATATTTGCCAATGTTAGGTCAGTTTGCTGGATGGCTGGTTTGCAATGCAGAGTGATGTCAACAGTCTGGGCTCAATTCTTGGACCAAAGGTTACCACACAGGACTCTGCTTCTCAACCTCTCCCTTTGCTTAGGCATGGTAACTCTCAGGTTAACCACCAGTTGTCTCTCTCTAATGAGAAAGCAGCCCTATTGTCCAATAAGACAAGGGCAACTTTACCTTTATTGACCAATGTAATTCCTAACTAATTTACTGACAACCTAGTCACTATTATCTTCCACTTAAAACCAATTACCTCACATTTTCTGATTCAATTTGGCAATTTGATATGTTACCAAATCCTTACCTCTAACCTAATGTCTAGTATCATGATTAATATCTTCTTCCAATGGGAAGGGTCACCCAGAGGCCCAATTGAGATAAATTTACAACAGTACTATTTTTCCTCCAATTTGACATAATAGGCTATTCAAGTCCAGTCCTTATAATTTAAAAAGTATGTACCACCTAAATATTGCAGAAAGAGGCACCTATTATTGAAAAGGTTTATATGATAATTAATGAAATCCCTTGATTGTTATAGGTGCTTGAAACCAGATATAGTCATCATGGTTATAACTTGTTGGCTGCTCAGTTGATGTAAAGTTCACTGTATCACATGCCAGGTTAATAACCAGCTTCCTGGTGCGGTTTGGAATTCTGTAGTTAAGTTTGGGTCGGAACCACTGAACTCCACAATCCCTGTGTCCTTGGACAAGTAGCACAGTGTTCATCAAAGGAATGGATTTCAATTCGTTGAAGATGTCCTTGACAAAGAGAGTGTGGAAAAGTTTTCGGATACAGGAGACTGTTTTCAAGCTCTCCTCAGTGCTGCCAAAGACAATCCGCTCCATGTTGATCTCATACATTTCCTTTGGATTAACAATACTGCCACCCAACAGAATATGCACACAAGGAACCAGTGTCAGCATGAACATTGCCTCCAAATTCTGGAAAATCTCATTGAGCTCAGACAGTACCCTCTGAAATTTCTTGCAATTATTCTGTTCATTTCTCCTTGAATGTGGCAATGTGGAACTGTCTGCCTAGGAGAGTAAAAACAATACATGATAATTCAATATACAAGCCTGGATGATGGGGAATCTTTATCCTCACTTTCCAAACTCAGCAGAATGACATTTCTGTAATGGTTAATAGCTGGGAATGTCATGACACTGCTGTTTGTTACATTAGTTTTCAGGTACAGTAAGTAATTAAGAAAGCAAATAAAATGTGATGATTTATTGTGAGTGGAATTGAATACAAAAGTAATGAGGTTATGCTTCAGTTAAACAGGGTATTGGTGAGACCACATCTGGAATACTGCGTACATGTTTGGTCACTGTACTTAGGGAAGGATGCTAACACACCGGAAGCAGATCAAAGAAGGTTTACTAGGCTAATACCTGAAATAAGCCTTTGAGGCCAGGCTATGCCAATACCCTCTGGAGTTTGGAAGAGTCAGAGGTGACTTAATTGAAACATACTAGATCCTGAGGGGACTTGACTGGGTGGGTATTGAAAGGATGTTTCCTCTTGTGGCAAATGGGACCTGATTTATACTGGATATCTGGTCGGCATGGATGAGTTGGACCGAAGGGTCTGTTTCCATGCTGTACATCTCTATGAATCTAGAACTAAGAATCACACTTTAAAATAAGGAGTCATCCATTTAAAACAGATGAGGAAACCATGTCAAAGGACTGAGTGTCTTTGGAATTCCCTTCCTAAAAAGGCAGCGGATGCAGAATCTTAATATTTTTAAGGCAGAGATACATAGAACAGTACTGCACAGGAACGGGACCTTTGACCCACAATATTGTGCCAAATATGATGCCAAATTAAACCAATCCCTTCTGTCTGCCCTTGGTCCAATCCCACCATTCCTTGTACATTCATGTGCTTTTGTAAAAGTCCCTCAAATGGCCCTATTGTATCTGCCTCCACTGCCACTCCTGCAGGTTCCACACTCCTACCACACTGAGTAAAAAACCTGACCCTCATATTTCTTTTGCATATTTCCCCTCTCACCTTAAATGCATGCCCCTATTAATAGGGATTTCAACTCTGGAAACAAGATTTTGACTGTCAACCCTATCAATGCATCTCGTAATTTTATAGACTTCTATCAAGTCTCCCCTCAGCCTCTGCCGCTCCAGAGAAAACAACCTGAGTTTTTTCTAACCTCTCCTTAAAGCTCATACCCTGTAATCCAGGCAGCATCCTTGTTGTCCCAGCATCCTGGTAAACCTCTTCTGCAGCCTGCCTGTAATGTGGTGACCAGAATTGGATGCAATACTCTAAGTGTACTGTAAGAAGAGGTGACATTTTAGGTCAGACTTCTTTACACTGATAAAACCTTTGGTTCTCTCAGGACCATGACTTGAAAGGAATTCGGGGATTTACATATACATATTAATCAATTAGAATCTTCTAACTGATTAAAGATTGTTTGTTTAGTACAATCTCAATGGTGTGAACTTTTGATCTTTTACTTATGAATTCTGTGTCTGATACTACCTCTCTCACTAACACCTGAAGGAGGACCAAGGCTCCGAAAGCTTGTGTTTTCAAATAGACCTGTTGAACTGTAATCGAGTCTTTCTTAAATAATGCCACAATATTAACTACCGCCCAGTCTTCTTGCACCACATCCCTGACTATCAATGGTACAAATATCTGATAAAAGGATTCTGCTATTTCTTCCCTAGCTACTTAGGGCATAGCTGGAGTATTGAATGCAGTTCTAGTTGCCATAGTATAGGAAGCATGTGAATACACTAGAGAGAGTGCAGAAGATTAATACATATATTATAAATTTATACACTGGGGTTGTTTTCCTTCAAACAGAAAAGACTAAGGTGTCCAAGCCTTTTCCCCTTAGTAGAGAGAGTAATAACTGGGGATGGGGGGGGGGGGGGGGGGGGGGGCTAAGGGGGGGGGAGCATTAAGGCAAGGGGCAGGAGGTTTAGAAGGGATTTGAGGAAAGTCTTTTTCATCCAGAGGGTGGTGGGAATCTGGAACTCAGTGGTACACGCAGGAACCATCAAGAATATTTGAGATGCCAAACTACGGGTCAAATGCTGGGAAAATGGGAATAGATGCGTGTTTGATGACAGGTACGTACACGATGGACCGAATGGCCTCCTTCTGTGCTGTCAATCTCAATTCAACGATGGAAGGAGGCAGAGCGGGAGGACTAATGCAGCCCATTGCCCTTCCTAACCCCAATCAGTTTGAGGATAATACTGGCGGAGCGGTTTTACTCACCAGGCCAGAGTCAGTCCTACTGAAGAAAGCCAGTTGTTGATAAGGGAGTGGTAACTGCTGCCTCTGGTACAGGACATGTTTCAGGAGCTCACACACCAGTCGGCAGCAGCTATCCGCACTCACCAATCCAGGGAACAGGACTGGTAACTCATCACCTTCCCGATCTGAGCTGCTTTCCCTACTACCCTCGTCCGCCATCGTCAGCTGCCCGGCCGCAGCCGCCATCTTAGCCATACTGCGCTTGCGCACCTGTCCCCCACCGTTCCCTGACCGTTATTTTCGATTTGAATCTCCCGCTCCTGTCGCCATCTTTGATACTGGCGCACCGGTGTTTAAAAATGCTGAGCGTGCTGCGGTTGTGCGGTGCCATCTTTGATATTGGCAACGGCTGTTTGCTTTAGGGAGAGAGGAAAGCGCATGTGTGGAGAGCGTGGGGACAGCATGGGGCTTGGAATTTATTTCTGCGGGAGCATCAGGGGTGGGAGGCAGGATGTGGACATTTACTGTCGGATTATCAACTACTTGAAGAAATGTGGACGAGTTTTTACTGAGCATATCGGCAACCCGGATTTGGTGGAGAAAGGTGATTGAAAATGTTTGATGGCAGAGACAGCGCGGGAAGGACGGAGGGAGAAATTATTGAGTGAATGACCCACTCCTGGGGAGAGCTTCAGAGAAAATGTCCGTTTTAGGGTCCGCTTGAGAGGATTTGCTTTATTATTGTCACGTGTACCTAGGTACAGTAAAACGTTTTATTTTGCGTGTAGTACAGGCAGATCATACCATACAAAGTGCATTAGTGTAAGAGAACAGAGTACAATGTTACAGCTGCAGAGAAAGTGCACAGAGAACGAGATTGACGTTAAATTTAAAGTTTGAGAGGCCCATTCAGAAGCTTAATGTCAGAAGTCACACGACGCCAAATTATAGTCCAACAGGTTTATTTGAAATCACAAGCTTTCAAAGCACCTCTCCTTCGTCAGGTGAAGTGAAGATGAAGGAACACTGCTTTGATAGCTCGTGATTTCAAGTAAACCTGTTGAATTAAACCTGGTGTCTTCTGGCTTTGTCCACCCCAGTCTAACACCGGCACCTCCACATCAGAAGTCGAATAACAGCTGAAAAGAAGCTGTTCTTGAATCTATTTATATACGTGTGCAAACTGTTATTTTCTGCCAGATGGAAGAGAGTATAACTGGAGTGGGAAGGGTCTGTGATTGTGTTGGTTGCTCTCCTGAGGCAGCAGAAAGTGTAGATGGAGTCAGTGAGTTGAAGGCTGGTTTTTGTGATGAACTGGGAAGGGGGATTGAGGGAGAGAGAGGAGGAGAAGGGGAAAAGAGAAAAAGGAAGAGAAAGAGAAGAGAGGAAAGATGGAGAGAGGGGGTGTCGTTCCTTTCACCAGCACCTCCCCCCCCCCCCCCCCCCAATCACTATCAGTTTTTTGAGTTGGAACAGGCACAGTGCATGCGTGTGTTCTTTCTGCAAAGAACATGGTCCTGTGTATTAATAGATGGGGCTTCTATTACATGGAAATGCACTGCACTGACCGGCAATCCTAGTTTTGTTGTAGTTTTAATTTTCTGCCCATTCAGGATTATTTAGCAAATGTAACTTAATTTCAGTCTCGGCCCACAGACGTAGGCTGGTTGCTACAGTGGTACCTTGTTGTGAACAGCTGGAGGAAAATGCTTTGTACTTACCGTCACACTGGCACTGAAATTCATATACCACATTGATGGCTTGTGTGATTGGAAGAACCTCTTTTTGGCTTGACAACAACATCCTATTAGTGATGAACACCAGTTGTGTTTCTACTGCATAGTAGCAGCTTCAAACAGCTAGCTGAATCTGCACTCAAAACTTTGACATTCTTTACACATCCTGGGTAATCTGAGGTAGACTGGGAACTTTGCAGGACCACGAATGAGTTTGTATAATCTATAATGAGAAAATTATTGGACAGGCTAGCCATCATCTTACAGGATGGCTATCATGCATTGTATTTCAGCATGAAGCTTACATGGTGAGCAAATGGCTTGTGCACTATTAATGAGGTTGCTGATATGGCCACCACTTGCCAGAAACATTTTGACCTCTGATAATGCAACACCTGCTTAGTATTGCACTCGAGAGTTATCTTCGTCCAATGATCTCTCGAGTGGAACCGTGCAATACAGGCAAGCGTGGTGTCAATTGAGCTGCATTGTCAGGATTTGGGGCAGGAGTATGCTTTGGGTCTTGAGAGATACACGCTGTAGTTGTGTGGGTGATGGCAAGGAGCAACAGCACCAATGAGTGAGAAAGTGGGCGTGAGGCAGCTTGGGGTGATTTTTCCTTTAGTGAAAAGGAAATGAAGGACCATTTGTTTATAATTGGATGTGCTAGTCTTTCTGTGAAATTAGTCAGCTTGCTCGGGTATTTTAATTGATTTGAAACTTAATGTTCATTCTTTATTGGGTAATTTGCAGGTGAAGATGGAGTAAAGTCTGGAGATAAATACATCCACGATCGAGATTTGATGTGGCTACAGGAGGCTGATGGTGAGTTTAGTTTGTAAATGATTGCTTGGCTAGGGACTTAGCAGTCCCAGGACAGCCACAACACTGACAAGCAAATTCCCACTGCATCAGTTTACTCTCAATCATCAGTAAAGTGATAGAAGTGTCAGCAACAGTGCTATCAAGCAGCATCTGCTCAGTAATAACCTGCTCACTGATGCCCAGTTTGGGCTGTGCCAAGACCTCTCAGCTCATTACAGTCTTGGTTCAAACATGTACAAAAAAGTTGCATTCCACCGGTGAGGTGAGAGTGACTGTCCTTGACATCAAGGGCAGACTTGATTTTTACTGATTGGCATCAAGGAGTCCTAGTAAAACTGGAGTGAATAGGAACACAACTCCTCAGATACTGAAGCAGTTCACCTCTATGCGGTAATATCCTGGACAATAACCCGGTTTGGGATGGTAACTGGCAAGATGTAGTGCAGGAATTCTCTAAGGCTCCTTAGTCAGCACCTTCCAGAACCCACAAATAAAAGCAAAATACTATGGCTTGAAACAAACACATAAATGCTGGTGAACCTAGCAAGTCTGGCAGCATCAGTGGATAGAGAAACAAAGTTATGTCTGTTTCTGAAGATGAGTCATCATGGACTCAAAACATTAAGTCAGTCAGCGCTTGTACCTTCCAAATCCACAACCACTTCCATCTAGTAGAACAAGGGAAGCAGATGCACGGGAACAGCACCACCTATAAGTTCTACTCTAAGTCGCTCACCATCCTAATTTGGAAATATATCACCATTCCGTCCATGTCACTGGGTCAAAATCTTGGAATTCCCTTCTAACAGCAGTTGATTCATGAAGGCAGTTCACTACCACCTTCTCAAGGGCAATTAAGCATGGGCAGTAAATGCTGGCCAAGCTAGCGACTTCCATGTCCCATGAATGTGTTTAAAGAAAAAGACTACAGGAGAGATCTCTGATAACAAGGTGTAGAGCTGGATGAACACAGCAGGCCAAGCAGCGTCAGAGGAGCAGGAAGGCTGACATTTCGGGCCTAGACCCTTCTTCAGAAATGATCTCTTCCTGCTTTGGAGCGACATCTAAGCTGTGCAGTTGGTGGAATTGGTGAAGTCACTTCTAGAGTACTGTGTGCAGTTTTGGTCTCCTTCTGTCAGGAAAGGTCTAGCTGCTGTAGAGACAGTGTATGGAAGGTTCATTAGATCGGTGAAGAGATGACAGTTGAATTATGAGGAGAGAATGACTCTATAAGGCCTTTATTTCAGGTGTCGAGAAGAACAACTGGTGATTTAATTGAAACATGTAGGATGGCACAGTGACAGTGGTTGGCACTGCTGCCTCTCAGCACCAGGGACCAAAGTTTGATTCCAGCCTTGGGCAAATGTGTGGAGTTTGCACATTTTCTTTGTATCTGCATGGATTTCCTCCCACAGTCCAAAGATGTGCAGGTTAGGTGGATTGGCCATGCTGGATTGGCCCTAGTGATCAGGGATGTGCAGGCTAGGTGGGCTAGCCATAGGAAATATGGAGTTACAGGGATAGGTGGAGACGAGGTGAGCCTGGGTAGGATGCTGTTTGGAGAACTTCCACTCTGTAGGGATTCTGTGATTCTGTATGACGTACTGGAGGAGCTAGGCAGGGTGAAGAATGAGAAAACTGATCCTCCGGCTGGAGAATCTAGAGCTACGGCAGTCAGGGTTCAAGTGGGCTACCAGCCCTGAGGTATCAATGGCACAATCCTGCCCTTGGAGATTAGATGCCAGCACCTGACCCCAGCCATTCCCAGTATGGTCTGGACAATGTTCAAACCTCGAAGTGGGATCACAGAATGGACAAGTTTGGGAAGTATTGATCACTGGGCCATAATTCCAGAATAAGAGATCAGTCATTTCAGACTGAGCTAATGAGAAATCTCTCCACTTTAAAAGGCTGTTAATCTGCAGATTGCTCTGTCCCAGAGTTGTTGATGCACAGCTATTAGGTTTGTTCAGTAGAGAGGCTGATCGATTTTGAGAATGAGGGAAGGTGGAAGTGGTAGAAGATCAGCCATGATCTTACTGAATTGCAGAACAGGCTCAAGGAACCAAATGGTCTGCTCTTGATTCCGTGTTCCTTTAAGATAAAGACTAGCATTCCATTAGCTATTTCATTGCTCTTTGTACCCAATCCCTCATCTTAATGACATACAGTTGGACTCCAAAATCCCCGTGGCTGTTCCACAGTCCATCACCATTTCCAACATTATTGATCCTTCTTTCTTGCATCAAAAATAGATGACCTTTAATTTCCCCATTTTAGACTCCAACATCCATATACTTTGCCTATCAAAGTCTAGTGTGTAACTTGCTGCTTCCATTCACAGGGTATTGTATTTTCTAATCTGGAGTCTTTTGCTGTGCTTCTCTGCTGTGTCTTCCTTTATCCGAATATGCCTTGCTGCAGATCCCATTCAGTGGCCCCTGTGAGGGATGGTGGGTAATTTCTGTGCAGTGCTTTTTAATTTACACAGATGGTTAGGTTCTTCTAGATAATGAAATGTTTTTCTCCTTGACAGTAATAGTGGCAGAGGTTACTCAACCTTCCTTGGGTGTTGGTTATGAAATTGGAAGGGCTGTAGCTATGAACAAGAAGATTCTGTGTCTGTTCAGATCATCATCAAAATATAGTAAGTATTTGCAATGTAAACAATGGGAAATCTTCTAAC